ATCCAAATTTTCTGACAAGCTTTTCAATTGCGATTCATTTATTTGTTTTCTGTTTTAATAATATAATTCTGTTCAAAGTTCACATTCTAACCGCATACAGAAGAACTGACAAAAGGACTAAAACATGAATAGACGCGTTAATACAAGAATCACATTTCACAGATCTAAATTTGTCCTAAGGGATAAATAAAGTTATTAAGTTGATTGATTGATTAAAGGGCTCATATTACGCTATTTTCTGATCTATATTGTTTTGTGTTTCATTCACACATTTAACACACAAACCCTGCATATTAAGGCCGAGTTCTTCTCTCAAACAGAAAACACTCTTGTGGCGTCATGTGGTAATACAGGAAGTGCTCCACAGTGCTTGTAAACTCCATAAATCTTACAATTTCCATACACCTTGTAAACTCCATACACCTTTCCAATGTCTACTGGACAAAAGGTAAGAGGCATCACAATGTGGAACAGAGCATTTTGAGCTTTGGAGATGTACACAGACTAATAATAAAGTGGTACTCAAACATGCATGAATGAAACAAAACACAACTCCAGGTATGGTTTTGATGAGGTAACAGCATTATAATTAGGGGTGTGAAATTATTGCGATTAATTAATTACAGTCATATTTAGCGCGTTATGTTTTTTAATCGCGTTAATCTCATTTTTAATCTCTAAATTTACTGTTTCTGTATGCGAGTTGCCTTATCATAAAATCTGTTTTTATGTGTTGTTGGTACAATAACACATCGCTCCCACAAAGAATTGTAATTTTCATTCCCGTTCCTGCCTGCATCTGTGATAAACCTGCACATGTCTGATCTCTGAAAACATCGCGACACAGACACAGAACAGACTCACCTTCAGCATCAACATCCTCTGTCACAGAGAGAACATCTATATTCCACTGAGTCATGTCCCTTAGTCTGACAGAAGCTGAACCACATCAGCACAAGAGCGTTTTTTAATTTTTTAAATTTTCTCCGCTTAATTTATGCAGATTAGCCATGCGGTTTTAAGTTTCTTTTCTGTGAGACTTGTGCAAAGCTGCATTAAACACATTCTAATGTCAAACGGGCTGATGTGGCTCTAGAGTGGTGATGGTTTATATGTTGTAAAGTTGAGTTTATTTATGCAGATTAGTAACAGTAACAATAATGATGACACTGTGGAATGTAAATGACTGCACCTCTTAAAGTTTGTTAAACAATAAATGACTTTATAAAGTCACTTTTTTTGTTGTATATCAGTCCTTTGATGTGCCATAATGTAATAATGAATTTAAATAAAAATACCTCAAGTTGAGGCTTTTCTCAGCAATTTTTAGGTGAGATTAAAAAAGAGATTAATTAGATGAATTAATTATAGATCATAATTAATTAATCTCTCAATTTTTTAAATCTCTTGACAACACTAATTATAATATGGCTTAAAGCTTTGTGTAGTATGGGCCCTTTAACTACAGGCTTAGCAGTTTTTATGTAGAATAAGCTTTTGTATATTTTGTCATTTGTATAGTACAGGAAAATTATTGTACTTCAAAAATCGCAGCCTTTGATTTGCCAATTGTGTCCATTCAAATTCCATCCTTGCATTTTTTTTTCCTTATCCCGGCCTAAGCGGGGACTCCCAGACTTCCCACTCCCCAGACACTTCCTCCAGCGGGACCACAAGGCACATCTATTCAAAACGCGATTTCGATTGCAGTTAAACCTGCAGCCGTAGCGCCGACCACTTTCCAACTGCTCACGTTGCCTAGGTAACATTACAACCTGCTTTTGTGTTTAGACTTCCTTAAACCAAAGACCTTTTTATTTTTCATTCCTGTCACACCTTTGGGATTTCCCCTCAGATTCCTGAATCGTATCCAAAAACCTGGTCACACCGCGCGCAGGCCCCGGTGGCAGTTTCTCACACTTTTTTTTTTTTTACAGTGCGTTTTTACAATGCGTTTTAATAGCATGTGTGTTTTATAGTGTGTGAGTGCAAACATCATCAGGAAGAACAGCTGCTAACAGTCCCTTCGAACAATACAGCAGTGTACAGAGCTTTAAGTGCCATGAAAACTCCAATTATAGTTAGGAAAATTTAAAAAAAAAATCTGAATTAAATACCAGAACCTTATTTCTCTGAACCCGTAATGGAATTTGAGCTGCACAGTGACAAACACTTGCCTGTTCTGTTTTTGCAGTTGTTTTAAAGAGCCCATATTATGCTATTTTCTGATGTTTGGTATAATATTTCCTCATCTAAAACAGACCTGGAGTTGTGTTTTGTTTCATTCACACATTTGACACACAAATGCTGCATATTTAGGCTGAGTTCTTTTCTCAAGCTGAAAACACCGTGTTCCACCGTGTGATGTCATGTGGTAATACAGGAAGTGGCCCACAGAGCTTTTAAACTCCACACACCTTCACTAGAATCATTTGGATAATTTCAGCTCTGGAATTGCCAATCTCTGAGCCAAAGGTAAAAGGTAGCTGTTAATTTGAAAACTACTGCTTCATGACATCACAAGGTGGAACAGAGCATTTTGGGCTTTGGAGATGTAGACAGACGATTAATAAAGTGTCACTCAAGACGTGTGAATGAAACAAAACATAATTCCAGGTCTGTTTTTGATGAGGTAACAGCATTATAACATGACTTAAAACTCACAAGAGTCAATTTGCATAATATAGGACCTTTAAGTAGAAATGATCATTATATCTAGTATCTTAAAAACAAAATAAAAAGGTAAGAGGACATAAAACAGCCAAATTAGTATAGATTCTTAGTAAAACATTAAAATTATTGACTTTAAAAACATATTGCACAGTTCTATACCAAATTAGCCATATTATGAAATAAATGGAGTAAATGGTTGACAGAGTAAGGCTCTGGGATTAATACAACAGTGGCAGTGACATTGAGTTAGTACAGTCACCAATCAGACACAACATTAAGACCACTCGCTGAAAGGAAGAATTTCATTGCGTGATAAATTTAGATTGCAAGGAAACAAGACAATGTCATCTCAAATCCAGGTTTAATCCCGATTTAGTCCAGGGTTTGGCCCCAGTTTAGTCCTGATTTAGTTCAGGGTTTAGTCCAGATTTAATGCAGGGTTTGGTCCCGCTTTGGTCCCGCTTTGGTCCCGCTTTGGTCCCGCTTTGGTCCCGCTTTGGTCCCGCTTTGGTCCCGCTTTGGTCCCGCTTTGGTCCCGCTTTGGTCCCGCTTTGGTCCCGCTTTGGTCCCGCTTTGGTCCCGCTTTAGATCTGCTTTAAAGCTGGTTTAATGCCAAACTTGTAGGCCTTTTCCATGCTACAGTAATTAGAATGTACCAGAGAAGCTTTAGCCCCGGCAGTCTAGCCCCGGCAGTCTAGCCCCGGCAGTCTAGCCCCGGCAGTCTAGCCCCGGCAGTCTAGCCCCGGCAGTCTAGCCCCGGCAGTCTAGCCCCGGCAGTCTAGCCCCGGCAGTCTAGCCCCGGCAGTCTAGCCCCGAAGTCTAGCCCCGGCAGTCTAGCCCCGGCAGTCTAGCCCCGGTAGTCTAGCCCCGGAAGTCAGTGGTCAGTTTGGTACCACTAACACATTTCAGATTGTGATAGAAAAGTGTTGCGTGGTTGTCTCAGGGCAGTGGTCGTAATATTAGGTCTGATCGATGTATATTGTTAGCGTTAAAAAAAAAAATTAAAAGGAAACTTTCATTCAGTTATTAACATTATGTGCTTCTATGCAAAGTTACACAGTGAACAGAGACAGTGAGTAAAAAAAAAAATACAGGAAGGTGCAACCATCTAAACAGTGACATGTGATAATTATAAAACAAAAATCTAACGTGATCAGGGGATTAGTAATACATTAAATACTGGTTGATTAGTGCAGGTAAAATACTCAGGCAACATAATACTAAAAAAGAAGACTGTACTGTAGGCGGCGTAACTGAATGAAATGTGAAATTAGGATATGAAATTATGACAATATTTTTCATTTGTTTGATTAGACAAAAACAAGAATTACTATATAATAAAGAAAAAATGAAATACATTTCTTTGAGTACAATGTATATTTTATGTATACGTATTATATTTTTAAACTATGAGTCCTCTATTGAAAGCAAGACCTATCTCTGTATGAGGTAAACGTGTTCAAATCAAATATAGCTTTTCTAATGCTGTTTTATTCTTAATTACAAAAACATTGCACGTGATGACCAAGTAGTTAAAGTTATAATCTGGCGTTTTGGTTCTCAAGACGATCATCCAATCAGAAAGCAGAATGAGTCTCACGGGAGTCTCTCATTAGGGATGCCAATTTCAGGGCTGAAATCCAGTTGGTTCAAAAGACTCTCTTTGATCTGAATCCTCACTACCTAAACCCCAGCACCTGCAGCCAGACATCAGAGCTAATGCTGCCTGTGCTCTGTCTGCAGGTTTAGGCACCGAGTACACTTATGATTGAAGAACCTTTTTTAAAACGGTTTACCCATCTTTTTGGATTTTGAATTTAAGGTTAAAACACATGATCTTAATAAAATCAGACTGCATTTGTAGGAAATAACAGTTTGCAACGATTGTAAGATAGTATACCTAGAAATGAACTACACTGATTGATTGAAGCGAACTGATTATAGTAATTTAATCATTTTTCATTAATGTAGGCCTTTTTACATGCACTGTTTTAGTTGAATCTCTCCTCCACAGAGTACGTAACAATAATAACAGGTCTTCTGCGTTTTTCATTTGTCTCAGTGCTTTGGGTAACATCATTCACGGCCACTTCTGATTGGACGATATTTGTCTTTTTAATCTGAACCAAGCTTTCTGATTGGATAACAGTCGTAGTTTGAATCTCAACTAAGTTTTCCGATTCGCCGTTGGTTTGGTTCTTTAGTATCTCCACGGACTTTTCTGTAATTTGTTTCTCCGGCTCGGATTTGGATTTGAAAACCGTGATGTTTTTGGTGTTAAAGAGGAGCTTGGAAGAGGTATATTTGGGTGGTCCCGGCGGGCTTACCCTGAATGGGCTGTTGGGGACGCTCACTCCCGCCCAGGACACACAGACTGTATGTTTTAGAGCTGCAGAGGGAGTGTAGGAGCAGGAGTAGAGGCCGTCTCCTTTAGATACAACCTTCACGTCCACAGGCTTACCCTCGGAATCCTGGGGGAAAAAAGTTTAATATAACAACATATTAATCCATTTGTAACTTAGAGTAATTAGAATTGTAAATAAAAACAATACACAGATCACTATACTAAAATTTTAACTAATTCCATACTAAAAAATACTCAATACTGATCCATGTGCAAGAAAAAGCCCAGCTACAGTTAAAAGAAAATGGGCCCCAAATCGACCCTTGAGGAACACCTTGGTAACTGTCATGACAAACCTGATATCTGATCATTGTAAACATCATTAATTCATCACAATTTAAAGAGAATTTAAAAACACAAAGCAAAGACAAAAGAAGAGAGGGAGGAGAGAGAAGGCTGTAAAAGAAAGAAGGGACAGAGTGAGAGAGACGGTGAGGGGCAATATTACAATACATGGCATAATTATGTAGTCATGCATGAAGAATACAACAGGATTTGTTGTAAAACTAAACACCGTGCCCTGCCTTAATAATAGAATCCCTGGTTACATTTCTAGTGATGTAGATAACTTTGCATTGTACTTAAACATGAATAAAAAACTGTGCTTTTAAATTGTCCATAGCAGTATAGACGCTCATGCTTTGGCGCTTACATGCACGCCACATCAAGACTGGGACTAAATTGGACAAAATCAGTAAGCGCAGCCATAAAAGTTCATAAAAGAGTCAGTGGAGATTTGAATCCATTATTTAACTTTTTAGACTTTGTGTATCTTACCTGAGCAGTGATTTTGAGTGGTCCATTTCCAGCGTCTTTAGTGTTTACAGTGAACTCTGCCAGTTTGTTTATGACACACCCAGACTTCTCCAAACCAGGACCATACGCCTGGACCTGTGGAGAAGGAACACATGTTAACATCATTGTGTCTGGACTATCTTTTTGTTTTACTTTATTACAATACACTAGTATATTGAATCAAAATTACATAGACCATGACCCTTTGAGTCAGTTCAGCAAACATGAATGAAAATAAAAATTAGGCTATTCAAACTAGGCCTGTTTACTTTTTCTGGGTAACTCCTGTGGCTGTCTGGTGTGACATAGGCCATGAATGAACTGAGGAGCAGCAGTAGAATTTAACCAGGACAAAACCTGGTCTAAACTAGGTATATTACAAGACTAAACCAGGTCCACACCAGGTCTAAGCAAGAACAAAAACCTTATGTCAAAAAATAGGAATTAAATGAGAACTAAACTGGGACTAAGCAAGGAAAAAACTCAGGTCTAAACCAGGTCTGAGCCAGGACTGAGCCAGGACTGAGCCAGGACTGAGCCAGGACTGAGCCAGGACTGAACCAGGACTGAACCAGGACTGAACCAGGACTGAACCAGGACTGAACCAGGACTAAACCAGTTCTCTCTCATTTACCTTCTCTGCAAAGCTGTTGTGGTTATCTGGGGTGATGTAGGCCATGAATGGACTGAGCTCGATGTCCTCCTCATCACAGGTCACATGGACGGCGTACTCCCCGGGCTCCGTGGGCCAGTACTTCACGTCACATGACCCATCGTTCTGGTCCTCACATTCGATCTTAGCCTGGGACGGGCCCTCGATTGCAAAACCTGCACGGCAACAGTCCAAAACACAAAGTCTTACATATTTGAAATGTTTGTGTCAGTTATTTATATGATCAGCAGATCACTGAATCATTGCTAAAGTTGAAATCATGACCAGGATTAGTTGAATCTCTTTGGATGGTGGTAAAAATTCTGGATTTTTTTATATGGTATTTACTTGGATTATTTTGCTGTATATTATCCATTCATCTTTGATTTTTCTAAAGATGAACAGAAACATACTTTTTTTTCCTTCTATAGAGTAACAACTGCTAACATTTATTGTTTTGGAAATACTATATTTACCACAAACAGCATATTAAAAGGTTTAGTAAGTTGCACTTTTGCTATTGGTACTTTGTGTCTCCCCTCTCCCTTTGCTCTCCATGCTAAGTTACTCCCCTTTTGAGCGCTATCACAACACAATCAGTTTGCATCCCACTCATAAAACTGCTACATATCACATCAGGTTTGTCAAGTTGCTGTGTGCTGTTTTGTATCATGTTTTTGTATATTTTTGGAGAGTTGTCGTGTGGGAGCATGGGTGATGTAGGCTTGTGGGCGGACAGAATTTTACAGCTAACTGTAAGGAGGGTTTGAATAGGGCCTGGGAGATATCACAAGATGACTCAAACATGCATGGGTGACATCTAAAACCTCTTAAGGCATGTTTTGGATGAGAGAATGTTCTACTCTTTAAATATATATGATTAAAAAAAGGATCAATCAATATGACTTTTTTCCTGCTTGGGTCAATAAGTCAATGCAGTGTCAGTAAATGAGTAATAAATAAATGATTGTTTCCT